CAAAGTTTCCAAACAGGACTGATGCATTTTTTACAGTACGAAACCCTTCATCATCAAGCTCCTATTGTAAAACAAATGTCGCATCTGGTAAGATATAAGATACAGCAATGTCATTATCCTATTGTCTCTGCTGCGTTTCTTATGCAACAGCAAAAAAAAAAGCAGACAGCTAGCCTAAATGGCAAGACATTAAACATCATCTTAACACACGGCTTATTTGCTGTTTTTGTTTTAAGAAGGCCGAGAATTACACCTCGTTCGGGAAGATGTAAAAATAACCGTGAAGTGAAGGAAGAGGTTAACACCAACGTGATCACATCACTAGAAGAAAAAAACACTTCCTGGGATGTTCAAGGTTTCTTCAGCTAGAATAGAGCACTGCTAAGGGATTGATGTGATTGACAGCTCTAGGCCATTGTTTGTGCTTTTGGTCTACACTGGCTTCTACTAATTTGGCTTGTATATTAACTTAGGGCCCCCTGCTGATTCCGGCTAAGCAAATCTGGAACAACACAGCAGCTTGAATATATATATAAATATTTATTCACTTTTAAAACTCTCACGTAAATTGTAGGATTAGTGCATAAGTAGTTTGCATTTCTGATAAATAAAAATGAAAACAGGTTTGTTAATTAGTGAAGTCCAATTTGTTTTGGGGGGGTTTGTTAGACTTCTAATTAGTTAAACAATGCTGGTTTGCCACTCCTGAGGAAGCACTTACCTTTGATCTTGTCATGTAAACTATTTTAAAGAAGCGCTAAATGTTAGGTACGGTGTTTGCTCAGGATGTACTCAATAATTATCACTGTAGGTTGGCTGCAATTATTCATTTGTTTACTGGTTCATTTGTGGGAAGTAAAGAGAGAAAATGTAACACTCGCATGCTGCATCAAAGAAGAATTTGATGACGAAGACGGTCCAAGTTTTAAAGCCACATTATGCCAATTGATATCTGCTGCTCAATAAAAATGGTCATAATTTAAATGTGAGCACATCTTCCAACCCCTACATGTAGTGTTATTCTGAATAAAGCTCTAGACCATTCAAGGTCTTAAATTAATTCAGTAACAAGAAGTATGCTGACTAGCCATGGGACTCTGATGAAGACTCAGTGTATATAGTACAGTATGTGTCTGTAAAGCAATTGTATCCCTGCAGGATTGGATTGTGTTTTGCGGTGGTGACAATGATGGTCGATATTTCTGTGCTCATCCATGAATGAATCATCTAGGAATCTAGATTCAAATAAGCAAATGCCCGTGAACATCCATGTTAATGCACTTAAGTACCTCTTTTCTCGAATGACCCTCCAGTGTCAGATGTCTGTGTTAATGAAAGACCCCCTGGCCCCTGTTACTTGGCACCCTGCTGGTGGCGGCCCATCTGAATGAGAGAATGGATGAATCACAGGATCCTTACACCTTGCTCCACTGCAGAGTAGCTGTGCTGTTCTCTACTCATCGGTCATCTGTGTGAGTGGTGATGAAGAGTTCAAATCATCCACCAGACAACACAGAAGGCATGGGATTCTGCAGCACTGCCAAATTCATCTGAAGGAGAATAGTGCAGAGAAGCGAGGTGGTGTCGGGTTTGAGAAAGATACCCTGGATTATGTGGAGGAGTGTTTAGAGGTGGTGAGGTTGGGGGTGATTGTGGGTCCCCACTATCTTGTGTTTGAAAGCACATATAGCCTCTGACCCCAGAGCTGCCAGAGGACCATCCTGGGAGTGATCTATATGGCGTGTGTCCTGAGGAAAGAGCTACTTCACAGCGTTCTTCTGTTAGCATCAAAGAGCTCTGCAATGCGAGAATACTAACTGTGTGCTTGACAATAAAGGCAGGCATAGGCTAATGCGAGTGAACAATTAACCTTGTCATTCTTTTTTCACTTCACGTTTATTGAAACACAAATGAAAAGAAAAGGGAAAAACACTCTTGTTCTCACATCCAGCACTGTAAAGCCTTTATGAATGCTAAACTTAAGCAAATCTTTCAGCCACTGCTTTAGCATTCAGAATTGCATTTGAGACTCTGAAGACACCAGAAATTTCTCTACGTGTCTCTGCCATACCAACACCTAGAGAAATTAAATAAACTGCTTTTCAACCCGCTACTGACAATGGAAGATTATAAAAAGAGTTTAGGAGTAGCTTGCATATACCAAATAACTTATTAAGGAACGATGGAGTGCTGTAACACTTTTTAACACATGAAACACATTTCATATCGTATCTGTTACCCTGAGAAGCCTGTGGTCTAATGGCAATCATGAAGATATATTTATACTTGATGTGCATTTCCTGACAGTGTTCATAAAACGTAGCATATAAAAAAACTGTCAGGTACAGACAGTCCCTCTTCTTTTCTCAGCATCAAATCTCAGAATGCCAGCCACAGAGGAGGAATGGAAGACTGATGAGATCAATTTCTTTCAAATGATCTAACTAACATCTCACAGCCCGCACGCGCTGCTAATATTACACTTTGGTGATAGGTCGTTAACATATTGGTGTAGGCTGCTGTCACACACCAGTGGATTTCTAAAATTAAGGACTTGGGGTTACATTACACATTTCTTTCTCTTTTACCTCTGCTCCCAGTCGAGATTGCATAAAATTAATTACTTCCCTGCCAGGACGCTACTTTGACTAGTGGCACTTTCACATGGCTCTGCTGGAGAACTGTGGGGAGAGCTGGGTTTTATTGACGCTTCTAAGTATGGAGGGCTAGCCCTGAAACACACGGAGAAAAAGGTGCCAGTCGAGAATCCATCACATCTGTGACGATATTTCCGAAAGATCTGTGTGCTGTAAACAGTGTACCCTCTCTCAGAACAGAAGAAGATAAGAAAGACCTTATGGCACATCTAGCTTGTTTGCTTGGTTGTCGCTATCGGAAACTGATCCGAGGATATCTTCTAACCACTTCATGGAAGAAGCCGGGGTATCAGGTACAACAGTATGTCTAAGGAGCCTGTCCCGGACTCCCAGAACCCTCTGTGAAAAATGGCACCTCCTGCTCTCCATTCACACTTCCTTGTAGTTCCCCTGTAGCCACAAGCCTCCGAAACCCAAAATGTTCTTTTGCAATTCCGGACTGGGAACCTCTTGCCCGGACACGCTCTGGCACTCCCCTGGTGTTTTAAACGAATTGCTTGGTGATTGATAGAAATCAAAAGAGAGAGAGAGAGAGAGAAATGCAGGCGGCAGGAAACAAAAGGCTGATTGTCTGAGGATGCAATAGAGAAAGTCCAATAAAAGGTACATTGTTGTCTGCGCATGTTGTCCGTTGTCTTTCGAGGCTTGAATATACTGTTTGCGCAGTAATTCACTTGCGGCTAGGCCCCTGCACTGAGAGTGACTTGTGAGTGAAGATTTCAGTTTCAGCCACAGTGGGCAATGAGTGTGGATGGTGTGACAAAGAATCATAATCAGAATGAACAAGTGAAAGAGAGCCTGTACCTCATACCTGCAAACACACCGATCCCTGTACCTCATACCTGCACACACACTGACCCCTGTACCTCATACCTGCACACACACTGACCCCTGTACCTTATACCTGCACACACAGATCCCTGTACCTCATACCTGCACACA